AAAAAAAAAAAGCGCTCCTCCCTTCTTCAGAAAGTAGGTGTTTACAAACGTCCAAAGCACCTGCCTGCCTTGAATGAAGCTAGGAGCCGGGTTATTATGACTGTCCCCTTCTAAAAATAAATAGGTCACCTCTTACTCCCAGTACCGTGACAGGCAGCTGGGAGCAAGCATTTTCTCTCCAGTGGTGTGAGAAGGTGTCACCGCCCAGCTATTAACCTTTATTGGGATGACTTCACCTAGACCTGCCCACTCTTTTTCTTTCCTATTTCTTGTTTTCTTTTCCTGGCATGACGAGGCACCCACTGAAGGGTGGTGGCATGGCCATGGGGAGCCTAAAACTTCAGCCTGGGCCATCATATCTCCGACTCAGAGGAGGAGGCTAGGGGCGGAGAGTGAGATGGGCTGGACGTGCCAGAGCTGAGAGCCTTGTTTGTTCTGAGAATGCTCAGCCACTCAGCAAGAGGTCGTTTACTCCAAAGGGGAAAAAAAAGAGAGAGAGAGAGAAACACACACCAAGAACAATTGTGTTTTGAGGGACACTGTTTTGCAAGAAAACCTTCCTTTGGGTCATCTCGATTTCTCAACCCAGAATGGGTATGGACACAAATGAGTCCGTGTGTTCTTTTGGGCAACAGGGCTCCTCCCACAGGCTCCCCTCTGTCATCAGAGAGCAAGCAGCCTGACATTGGCACACGGCTGGGCCGCGTGCCCAAGATATTTTTATAGCTTGGCTCATCATTACATACGTGTAATCAATCACCAAGTACCCTCATTTGCTGCAGCTTCTATGAGCAGGACAAAAATCACTTCAATTTTTCCTGCTTCTAAAGAGGCTAGAAGGTTGCACCTAGGTGGTCAAAAGGTACAAACTTCCAGTTATAAAATAAATAAGTCCTGGGGGGTGTAATGTACAGCATGGTGATGACAGAGTATAACACTATCGTGTATTTGAAAGGTGCTGAGAAAATGGATCTTAAAAGTGCTCATCACAAGAAAAAAAAATTGTTAACTGTGTGTGTGGATGTTAACTCGACATCATGTTGATCACTTCTCAGTACATATGAATATCAAATCACTATGTTGTGCACCTGAAATGCACGTTACATGTCAATTATATCTCAATTTAAAAAAGAAAGTATAGCTCCTTCTTCATTTAAAAAAAAACGGCTAAGAAAAATATTACCGAGATTCTTTTAGGAATATACCCTAAAAGCTTTGCATAAAAAGTTGAGATCATTTTTTTTTCCTGATTAGGAACATTAGGTAAAGTAGTAAGCAGGATCTAATTATTAAAAGACATACTTTTCGGGTGCCAGGGTGGCTTGGCTGGTTAAGCGTCTGACACTTGATTTCAGCTTAAGTCACGATCTCATGATTTTTGAGATCGAGCCCCATGTCAGGCTCTGCACTGAACATGGAGGCTGCTTAAGATTCTCTCCTCTCTCCCTCTCTCTCTCTCTCTCTCTCTCTCTCTCTCTCTGTGTGCTCTCTCTCTCCCTCCCTCTCCGCCCCCCCCCCCCCACACGCTCTCTCTCTCTCTCAAAACAAATAGAAACAGGGATGCCTGGGTGGCTCAGTCGGTTAAGCGTCTGACTTCAGCTCAGGTCATGGTCTCACAGTTCGTGGGTTCGAGCCCCACGTCGGGCTCTGTGCTGACAGCTCAGAGCCTGGAGCGTGCTTCGGATTCTGTGTCTCCCTCTCTCTCTGCCCCTCCCCTGCTTGTTCTCTCTCTCTCTTTCAAAAACTAAATGTTAAAAAATAAAAGAAAGAAAGAAAATGCTTTACTTTTAAAAACATGTGTGTTCCACGGGGCACCTGAGCGGCTCAGTGGTTAAGTGTCCACCTTCGGCTCAGGTCATGATCTCAGGTTCGTGAGTTCAAGCGCCATGTCAGGCTCTGTGCTGACAGCCTGGAGCCTGCTTCAGATTCTGTGTCTGCCTCTCTTTCTGCTCTTCCTCCACTCATGCTGTCTCTCTCTCTCAAAAAATAAATAAACATTAAAACAAATTTTAGATATGTATGTCCCATTGTCACTACACAGCCATTTATCTACATTTAATGTATATTTGACACTTACGTGTGTCGAAGTGATTTCTAGAGCATTAAAGAACTGAAGAGTTGACGCAGATAACATATTAATCTGCTTTCTTTGGGATAGTGTCAGCTGTTTTGTGACACACGCATGTCACAATTCTGACAATTTCTTTAATACCTCACACAAGATTGAAAGCTCCAGACTTCAAAGTCTGAGGTTAAGTCAGTGCAGATACTCAAACACATAACTCAAACACTTTTGACCTTGAAAGAAAACAGTCATAGCAGAGTTCTGAAAATCAGGTTTTGCAAATGCCTCTCAGACCCAAAGCAGGGTGCTGTATTGTTAGAAAAGTTGCAACACTGCAAACGTTATCAGTGAGAATATTTCAGCACTTTTTTTAAGGTTTATTTATTTTGAGAGAGAGCACACGCAGCGTGGGTGTATGTACATGAGCGGGGAGGGGGTAAGGGGCAGAGAAACAGGGAGAGAGAGAATCCCAAGCAGGCTCCATACTGTCAGCATGGAGCCCAACATGGGCCCCGACCTCACCATCTTCAAGATCATGACCTGAGTCAAAACCAGTGTCAGAGGCTTAACCAACTGAGCCACCCAGGTTCCCACTCAGCACTTGACACTTATCAACGCCAAAAAGCTAATTCTACGATCTCTCAATTTTAACAATTCTATCCCATTAGTTTTAACTCTTGTTCCCCTAAACTCCCAGTTTACTATTTTTTGAATATCTGAGTGCATGGGCACCTGGGTTGCTCAGTCAGTTGAGCATATGACTTCAGCTCACGTCGTGATCTCACAGTTTGTAAGTTCGAGCCCCGCATCTCAAGCCCTGCATTGGGCTCGCTGCAGCCAAAACAGAGCCTGCTTCAGATCCTCTGTCTCCCTCTTTCTCTGCTCCTCCCGTTTGCTCATGTGGGCTCTCGCTCTCTCTCTCTCTCTCTCTCTCTCAAAAATAAAATAAGGGTGCCTGGGTGGCTCAGTCGGTTAAGCGTCCGACTTCAGCTCAGGTCACGATCTCAAGGTCCATGAGTTCGAGCCCCGCATCGGGCTCTGGGCTGATGGCTCAGAGCCTGGAGCCTGCTTCCGATTCTGTGTCTGCCTCTCTCTCTGCCCCTCCCCCATTCATGCTCTGTCTCTCTCTGTCTCAAAAATAAATAAACGTTAAAAAAAATTAAAAAAATAAAATAAATAAACATTTGAACTTTTGAGCATAGCTGTCGTCAAACTTAGTTGGTTAGTTACTACAGAACTAAATAGATTCCTGAAATGTGCTTCTCAGTTCAAAGGACAACTGATTAGTGTCCCAACAGATGACTTACTACTAATATGAAATATTTATTAAAATACTTCCTTTAAGTACTCCTTCATGCATTTTTTTTTCAACTTTTTTTTTTTTTAATTTTATTTTTGGGACAGAGAGAGACAGAGCATGAACAGGGGAGGGGCAGAGAGAGAGGGAGACACAGAATCGGAAACAGGCCCCAGGCTCCGAGCCATCAGCCCAGAGCCCGATGCGGGGCTCGAACTCACGGACCGCGAGATCGTGACCTGGCTGAAGTCGGACGCTTAACCGACTGCGCCACCCAGGCGCCCCTCCTTCATGCATTTTTAAATTACTTGCTCCAACAATGGATCCTCCTTTAGGTATAAATGTGTGAGCTTCTGAAATTCACAAGGATGGGGGGGGGGGGGACAGGGACAACACCGTAACAGAAACCAGAGTGTAGCTACATCGCTGACACAGCGGGTGGCTTCCTAACGTCAGTGACACCTTCAGCCCTGTGGGGGGCTGGGGTTGCAAGGGTTTCCTCGGCACTGCTGACCTGCAATTCACTGGGCATCCTGGACGAAAGGACTCACAGCATACAGACGTGGGAGAAACCCTGAGGGCCCCAGAAGCCATCCAACATTTTGGGTGCTGAAGAAAAGGGGCCCGGCAAAGTCAGGTGACCCACCGTTGACCAATCAGGAGAGACCCGAGTGCAGAGCATTCTTTTCACTTCTCCAGCTGAACAGACAGCAGAAACCACGCATTCTGGCGAAAGCTCGTGTGCCACACACTTCCACAGTTCAAGTTGTCTTGTATTCATACTCCCCCAAAATCTGTATACATTCGGTTTCAGTAGTATATGTTAAACAAGCATTTTTATTTCCTTTGCAGTTCAGTCCTATAGGATGACCTAAGGAAGTCGCTGCCATATCAAAGCTAATTGTCCACTTTTCTTGATGTTGCTTTTTCTCTTCACATAATCATTGGTCTGACTTTTTCTTCCCACTCTTCTATAGCAGCATTCACTAAGGCTCTGGAACTTTCTATCAGAGACAATAGGAGGGATCCTCCCTCTCTTGAGGGTTACAGGGCAATATTATCACGAATGGCCAAGTGCTGGGTACCGGTGCAGGAGGGGGGAGTCACTGGTGCACAGAAAATTACTAAGATAGGGAGGGTGATTCTTTGCCAAGCTGACCTGATGGCATTCTTGCTGAAGGGAGGCCAAGGTGGTCAGATATTACCCGGGGTGTTGGGAGATGAGGAATTTGGTCAGAGACTGAGGATGATCAGATGTCAAGGGTGAGGGGTTCCCACTAAACGGACCTGACAGGACTCCTGCTAAAACTGGGTTCTTGAGGGGGTGCCTAGCTAGCTCAGTTGGAGGAGGAAGCAACACTTGATCTTGGGGTCGTGAGTTTCAGCCCCTTGTTGGGTGTAGAGATTACTTAAATAAATAAAAACTTAAAAACAAGCAAGCAAACTGGGTTCTTGAGAACATACCCAAGGATATAGCCTAGATGCAAAAGAGCTCAGAGGAGGCTGACCAAAGAGTCTTTGTCACCTCCTAAGAACAGGCACATTTTTATTTCTTCTATCAGCGTTCAGTGCTACAGAACCCTATGG